TATATAGGATTTTTAAAATATTTATGATAAAATGTACAATTATTGTAAAAGTAATTTTTGTCAAAAATAGAAAGTAATATGGTGACTGCATAAGTTATTTTTGATCTGAAGATACTGCGTGTAATAGTAGAGTTGTTAGAACTCTAGTTTCTTATTCAGAAGGTTTCAGCTTAAAATTCTCTGCTTGTGACTGATTGTAAGTTTTCAAGGTTGTTTTAGGCCATAAAAATATTCTTCCACATCTTCTGAATTTCATTATTCAATATCATTAAATTTGAGCTATTGAATGTGATGTCAGATAAACCAAGAATAAACACTTTAAAGAAAAATTTGAAACAATGAGACATTATAAAAACATGTTCACAAATTTAATATCAAACTTTGTACATGAGTGTGAGTTTAATGAAGTAAGCAGTGAGTGAATAAAACTGATGCAATTTTTCAGCATACAAAGTAGACTTTATTGGTTCTCTTGCACAAAATAAACTTCTTCGACTGATCCTTAATGCAAGTGAAACTGAATCCTGATTGCACTGTCACCAATAAGTATCATGCTGAAGCACAACATTTTTATATGGTAATTCATTAAAATTACACACCTGTCTCAAATTCAAGATATATTTCATTTTGTTCTTCTGAAACTCCAGCCATGTTGTATTCATTAAAAAAGTGTGTTTGTTCCAATACACTCCAGACCATGGGTTTTCCAACAGTTACATTTTCTTCCACAATGATAAAGTACATGAAGTCCTTTGTAAGTCGTACAACACACAATTTTGATAATTTTGCTATAGTGACAATTATATCTGGAACAAAGAGAGGAATTATGAAAATGCAAAACTGAAACATTTTACTTGCTTAGTCTTGAAGTGAAACTACCAAAAGAGACTAATTTTGTAAATGTATAATGTATAGCTCAGCTTTTGGGTGAGAGCTGCGTCAAATGTTTCTGCATTAACTAATATTTTGGCAAAGAGTATAGCTACTGCTTTCAAGGTGGGTATGAGATGGGAGGCTTTATAGAGGGCAGATGGTGAGTGGTGAGATAAATTAGATGGTGCTGATTGATGGAGTGAAGGGGAGGACTGCTATCCAATAGGAAAACATGTGGTTGAGGAAAGGAGGTGGCAGAATTTTGAAAGAAAGTGACAGAAGTGATTCTGGACAAAAAATGATTTTCAGCAGCTATGTAGAAAGGAGAGGTGGCTGTTCATCGACCACAAGGTTTGGTAAGGTGATTGTGGACCACCGATTTTGAGGGCCTGATAGGTTCAGTGGTTTGGGGGAAAGCAGATAAAGGCAGGCTTTACTTAGCCTGTAGCCATCTTTGCAATT